ATATATATGTCTTCTCTTGGGCTCCACCAAGAGCAACCTGAAACTAAGTTCTTCAGGAACAAACTGTTCCACTTTGCTGTGAGGCAACAGATGTGGAAATTCGCTGACCAGGGGCTCTGTCCTCATACTTCCTCATACTTCCTGTGGAGCTTATTGTCATAAGAGTATCTGTCATCCTGCTAATGTGAATCAAAAGGAGGCCAACAGGGCTGAGGCCGTGTCAGCGTGATGGACCCCAAAGAGACCACCCTCCTGTGTCTCGGTGAGTTTCAGAGTAAAAGTGGGTTAGAGGGGAAAATAGGGAAATCCTAAAATAATCCGGGTGTCTCTTGATAGTATGACTAGGAGATTTTCGTGGCTGCCGAGGAGATTCTGACCTCCTTAGTGGAAAGGCAGTCTTTATCAATATGTCTATAACTTTGTCTCTGCCCAAGTCCGACCTAGCTTGTGGGACTCAAGGGTTAATATTTTTATTAAACCTATAGTGTGTTATCTGGGATTAATGATGGTTCCAAGGTTCCCATCAAAGAGAGACTTAGAGGCTGGAATCTGAAAGGTAAAAATAAAGAATGAGCCTCAAAACTGTGATTGTTGTGGAAGGAAAAAATATGATTGAACCCCATATAGAAATATGGTTACTAGTATTTTGTTGAAGATTTTTGCATGTATGTTCAACAAACACGTTATCCCAAAGTTTTCTGGTTTTGTTGCGTCTCTGCTACGTTTTGTTATCAGGATGATGCTGGCCTCATAGAATGAGTTGGGGAGGAGTCCCTCCTCCTGGATTTTTTCAATAGTTTCAGTAGGAATAATACTAGTTCTTCTTGGCCAGGTGGGAAGGCTCACGCCTGTAATCCCAGCACTTTGGGAGGCCAAGGCGGGCGGAACACACGGTCAGGAACACACATCCTGCCTAACACGGTGAAACCCTGTCTCTACTAAAAATACAAAAAAGTTAGCCAGGTGTGGTGGTGGGCACCTGTGGTCCCAGCTACTCGAGAGGCTGAGGCAGGAGAATGGCATGAACCTGGGAGGCAGAGCTTGCAGTGAGCCGAGATCGCACCACTGCACTTCAGCCTGGGCGACAGAGCGAGACTCTGTCTCAAAAAAAA